GGCGTTTTTCAATCAAACTCTGAAGTAGGGCGCTCTTTAAAAGTTTTCTGAGATAGGGCGTTTTTGAACTGGCTGCCGAGATAGGTCGATCTTCCACACAGCCATCGATATACATTTGTACATAAGTTTTGACTACACTTGTATTTGTTCTATTCTGCCGCAAATTGCATTATTGACTCAGTGTTCGATGATGATTGATTCCCAATAGAGCATACAAATTCAACATGTATGTACATACACTATGCCATTGCCGCATTCTTTGATATTTATGTAACGTACTACATAAATGAAGCACCTACAGAAAAGCAGAATTTTCGTATTACATACATATGTTACTCATACGCCATGTCGCACTTCATATAGAAAAATTTCTTAATTGCTATCATTCTGCCTTTGCAATGGCAGCCCTACTAAACAATACACAATATATTTATGTATTTAGTGAACTGTGAGTATTTAGAAAACTGACGTACTTACGATGTAAATTTTACATACATAAATGTTACTTATACGCCGTGTAGTACGCCAGCCAAAAATGTATTAAATTTAACTGCTACATATAAGCTACTTTATTCATCAAACAATTTCAATATGGACTCCTTTTTCAATCGCTACTTGGAATCCATCTAAATATAAAAAAAATTTCCTTGTTTGGAATTTCTAATTTATAACTAATTGGAATATGTATCCTTAAAAAGAGGCAAACTTGTAGTGAAATAATTTTACGTGGTTAATATATGCAAACTTAGCTTGAATTTACCCGGGTAACGCAAAAAGTTTTATAAAAGTCTTTTAATGGTTTACTTGCGCGAAACTGAAACACAAATACTCTACCATTTTACTCTGTGAAATAGTCTTTACAACTCTTATAACACCAAAAGAGCCCCAGAAGGCTGAGCTTCGAAGTGCAAAATGTTGCTCTATTATTAGTTTATACACTGAAAATTAAATTTCGTAAAAGTGCTACGAAAAACTTTCGTAGTCTTGGTTTTTGTACAATGTACGAAACTTTCGTTCATAATAGGAACACATTTTTCACAACGAAACAGGATTTTACGAACCATATGTAAATATAACGAAAGGACTTTCGCAAGGCATTTTTTCAGTACAATTTACGAAATATTACGTTTATTTTACGAAACACATTCGTAAAGCACTGAAAAAATCTCTGTACGAATAATTTTGTATATTGTAGGAAGGCATTCGTAATATTTACGTATGGTTTTATAATTTACGAAATCTACAATTCTGTATTCGTACAATTTAGTTAATACTTTCGTATAAGGTACTAATGCAGAAACATGTTTTTTGAATTCGTACAACATACGAACATTTTCGTACAATATACTCAATTACCGGCAGTTTAATATTTCATCATACTTTTTGTATCGTGTGTCATTGCAGAATTACTTGTTGGCTGCTGTGAGACGTATAATATAATTTTAAACGTTTTAAAAAGGGATTTGCTGGATAAAAAAAAACCATACAAAATAAAATATTAAAGCTGTGGATATACTATGCTTTTAAGCATACAATGTTTATAACGTCGCCTACGCTGCTATATTCAATAAAATAACCGAAAGTGGTGATCCTCTTGGGACACCATTAAAGAGAGGAACAGTTTTTGAATAACAGTTATTGACCCNCATACAAAATAAAATATTAAAGCTGTGGATATACTATGCTTTTAAGCATACAATGTTTATAACGTCGCCTACGCTGCTATATTCAATAAAATAACCGAAAGTGGTGATCCTCTTGGGACACCATTAAAGAGAGGAACAGTTTTTGAATAACAGTTATTGACCCGAACAGCAAATATCCGGTTGTAAAGGAAAGACTTAACAACGTCGTACTCATCCTCATTAGTGACGATGTCACCGGTAACCATTTTCGCTACTGGGTAATAAAGGACGCGTAGTGAAAGTGGAGCAATGTGAATTTTGACGCCCTTTTTCATCGCCGACCCCATCGTGGATTTGACGTGGGCGACTGCGCCGAATGCTGGTGTCATCAAAATTTATAAAAATTACCGATAAAATTGCAGTGACAGCAAACAACTAACACCAACATCCATACAATCATTAAGTAACCATTTAAATAGAATTGATATGATAATAGCCTATTTTTTCAGCTCATTGTCACTCGTAAATCGAGTGTTATATGTAACTAGTATGTATTTATTTATTAAACTCGCAATTTGTCATTTAGTTGATCTTCGATAAATTAATATACATGAAAATATTTTACTGGCTTATGTATGGGTACGTTCGAGCTTTTTTTCTTTTTTGTATGTATAACAAACTCGTATTTTATAGCATGCATTTGGGCGTCATTGACTGTATGTATGCTTGTATACTTTTATTTATGTGTATGAAGATTGTATAGAATAGACATTTTGTATAATTTCTTATTTGCTTGTGGGTTAGTTATACATACAATTTTCGTATGTTTTTGTTTATAATATTTGTATGCATTATTTATATTTTATAGAAAAAGTTATAATAAGATATTTTCTTGAAATTTACATATTTTGTAAAAATATATTTCTTTTCACTTTTTGTTTTGTAAGTAAAGTAAATACATTTTTCATAGCGTTCACTTTTCACATAGTTTAGGCAGAAATTAAGTATGTAGTTTTTGTAGATTTTTGATTATGCGTTTAGTATGTATGCATAGATACATATTATGTTAGCAGCAAATACAATAGTTGGCTTAGACGGATAAGTAATTCGAGTTACTGATGAGATAGCAGTTACATAAATGGTAGCGCATAAAATAAATTTTAAACTTATGGAGTAAGAAACAGAGCTTTTTTTACATTAAGACTACGCAAATCACTGACTTAATGTACCAGCATTTGATTAATTTTCGCCTATCAAATAAATATATTTCTGGAAAAAAAATGTGAATTTCGGCATGAAATTTATAGCGTAAGGAAAAACATACATACATATATACATCTATGTATGGATTTTTTCATTAACAACTTTAAAACAAATATTTGGAAAATATCTTCGTACCGTAACGCCTCACAAACAAAGAAAAAATTTGGATTTTTTTTTTGTTTGCCGAACCTACATTTTTACATTTTTCTGTGACACCTACATATATTTCGTCAATTTAAGGCTCAATGACGGTATATCATATTGTGAGATCCGATTGTAAATGCCGAAGGTATGACAAAAAATGTAAAAAGGCGACCCCTACTTTGGAACAAATAAAAAATTTGTTTTTCCAGATTGCCTTGTAAAAATACTTTAGATTCAGGGGTGTACGGTGAAGTTTTTACTGGTACGGTCTAATGTACAAACACATGAGGGTTTCAAAAAAATGTACAAAATTTTCAAGAAATGAGATGTCATTTTAATTATATCAAAAATTTTAAATAATTCTGATACTAATTGAACTGCTCACAAATCTTAAGCCAAAACGTGCAAACGCACCAAAAATATTGTTTTAAAATAAAAAAATGAGCGCCCTTCTTATTACTTAGAATTTACGTTTTAATATTTGTAAATAATTTCTGTCAGTGCTGTCAAAAATTCTTTTTTCTTATTCATACTGCGCTGGACTAATATTATTTTGTGAATAATCATTACACATGTATCTGATTTCATGAGTGATATTAACAGGTTTCTTTAAGAAAACTAACCCCGAAAGTGAAATTGCAATCCATATTTGCAAATCATTAGTGTATGTATGTATATACGTAAGTGTAACATTAGAGAATTGAAAATTAAATAACTTAGATTAAATTGAAGTCAAAAAAAAAACTTTAAAAGAAAGCAAAATAAAAAGTGAATACATAAATACAAAAGTTCGGGAAAGTAAAAAATAAAAATAAAAAATAACTAAAATAAAATAAAACAAGTAAAGTCGGTTAAAAAAATAAAATAAAATAAAATAAAATAAAATAAAATAAAAAAAAAACAAAATAAAATAAAATAAAATAAAATAAAATAAAATAAAATAAAATAAAATAAAATAAAATAAAATAAAATAAAAAATAAATAAATAAATAAAATTAAATAAAATACAATGCAATACAATAAAATAAAATAAAATAAAGTAAAATAAATAATAATATAAAATAAATAAATCAAAAGTTAAATGGAAACAAAATTAGATTAGATAAGATAAAGCAAAAAAAAACTAAAGTAAATTACATAAAATAGAACGAGAAATTTCAAGCAATTAAAAAATAATAGAGTAAGCTCGCGGTGATTTGCTAAAATGTATATTCTTATCTATTTAAAAAAAATAATAAAAAATTAAAAATCAATCAAAAAATCGTTGTGGAAAGAAATAAAGCTCCCCGATTATTTGTTGGAGCCATGTATTTGTGAATATGTAATCCAATTGCAAATACTTGTAAAAAAAATATAACTTTCTTCAATATGTATAAAAGACAATTACAACAAATTCAAATTTCTTAAAATAAATGGTCTGGCTGACTTCCAAAACGTATCAATACAATGTTTGGATACTGCGGTATTCAAACCATATACATTGCATATTTTAAATATTCAATATAACAATGAACAATTTTTCTGAATAATCCGTTTTTAAAATACCAATGGTAACCAAAAACAAATGAAGCATCAACATTGTTTCAGATGTGCTGATTGCTTTAGCGATGCGTTTCGATAACGTTTCGGATGCGTTTTGGAAAAGTATACATTGTCACTATTTTATAGTTCGGCGTTATGGAACATTACAAAGTACGTATGCAAAGCAATTGACGTTTTGGAAGACAGCCGCTTTTAATACCAAAAACGGACTTATTATAATTTCATAAGATTACAAATTATGCATTGGGACTCTCGAAAATGCTAGCAGCAGTTAATTATCAAAGAGTATAGTATGAAAAGGGCGTAACTAACATCGTCGCTGAAAATCACATTTCAAATTAAATATCTTACCATTTTATAGTCAAATTTAAATGCTTTTGCCTTTTAAAGAATTTTCAAATTAAAAATGGAAAGACTGTGTTTTAAAGATTTGAAATCAGTTTAGGATTTTTAATCAATCATTTCATAATTATAATTATATTAATTAATAAAATTTCACTTCCTTTTATACTGATTACGTAATTCATAAAAAATAAATTCTGTAGCATTTTGATAAAACACCTTAAGTAACTTTAGAGGGCTTGACTTAGGATTAAAAAATAATACGTTTCCCTTCAAAAAACAACACTAGTTAATCATTAAAATATTGTTTTACAAACCAAGAGATAAGTTGTGTTATCAAAATGCCACAGAAATAAGATTAAAAGCTTTATAAAGTAACTTTCTAATAGAATTTTTCGATTATAAATCAGTTCAGTGCTTTATGAATTTTGCCGTTAGTTTATTCAACATTTTAATTTTCTTTGGATAACTCCGCTCCGCTCCTGCCTATTTCACCCAGAAATTAATTTAGAGTTTCTATTTAAGAAATAAAATCTGATTTCGAATTACAAATAAATATTAATAAATACAAAGGATTCTTGTATATACTGATAATTTTGCGCGACTTTTATAATTGTGTATATATTATTTCATAAACTCTTTAATGTATTTTATAAACTTTTTTTTTTTGCAAGTATACGAATTCATTATCCTGTATTTCCCTCGCAGTAGTACAGTTGTTGAGCTGCAGCAAATACTGTTTGTTTACCATACACCTTTAGTGTGTATATTGTCTAAACGCGTAAAAGTATGATTTAAATAGAGAAAGATTTATAAAATAAATTAACGAAAAAAATATATTATGGAAAAGTGTCGTAGCGCAAAATTAAGCTAATCACTGGCATCAAAACTACCGATTACTAATATCTTAAGGAAAAGTAGAATTTTTCGAAATAAATGCAACAAAAGCAAATATAAGCTAAAAAGTATACAAAAATGTGATATTCAATGGTTTGAGCCTTAAAAATAAAAATATTCTTAAAAAAGCTAGAAAAAATAGCTATATATGTGTGTACATACATATATATAACTATGTGCTTTTCTACAGAAAATGTTCAAAGAAAGCATAAATAATAAATTGTATAAAAAATTAAATAACAATTTAAAAGTAAAATGCAACTTTTTTTAGATAAAATTTTATCGTTGAACAATAACGATGTATATCATAACGATCAGCATATGTATGTACATCGTATTGGCGCTTTTGAAAGCAAAACAAAAATAATTTAACTACACTAAGCTCTAGTGGCAAAATAATATCAAATGAAAGCGTGGCTAGTAAAACTTAAATAAAGTAGAAAAAGCTAATTTAATAAAAAGCTTAACCTATCACAATCTGCATTATTTTTACGCATAGTACATTTTACTGTACTGTTATAATTTTCCTTTTTCGATCATATTTTTGTTAGTAAAGAATGCATTGGTGTTAAACCTTTTTAACATTTTAGGTATTATTTTGGGCTTATTTCGTATGACTAACCTTTCTAATCATGCGCATGCGCATATATAAAGAGTGCAGTTATTATTTATGAATATGCGTACACAAAAATCGCTCCATTATTTTTTTTATAAACCCAGCTCTAAATATTTATTTTTATTGTTGAAGGATAAGCCCTCTAATGCTGCTTTAAACTGCGCCTTAATAATCTATAAAGTATGCCATTATGTGTATATATGTATGCATTATAAAAAGTTTACGTAATTGTTGTCGCGTTACACTCGTTCAATTACTTCCGCTAGCATCTGGATTTAGTGGTATATCCGCCGGAATTGACAGCAGTTCTTCGAGGCTTTTTATGCAACGCTTCGATCCATCGCGCGCCTCGCTTGAGTACTGTAAATTGCAAAATATAGTTTAAAAAAGCTAATGCCTAGCAAAAAAATACACAAACCAACCATTGTAAAGTTGAGGAAACCATGTGGCAAACCATTCAATATCTCCAACGTCACTGGTCGCCCCAATTTTTTTAACTTACGAGCAAACATCACACAATCGTCGAGACAGGGGTCCATATCAAGCGTCTGCAGAAGAAAGGAAAAATGATTTTCAATTCTATGTGCCGTCATGCGCACCATACTTCCCTCCTTCCCCACTTACCAGTATCTTCGTAGTTGGCAGCTGTGAAAGCCACTCATCGCTTGCCCAGTACGGCGATAGGAATGGATCTTTTGGCACTTGAAAGGCAAACTCTACACTAGGGCTACGCGCTATCAAAGCATCCATATTGCGCAAATCCTGTATGCGCTCACCATTCTCCACCTCGCTGCGTATCTCACTCGATTTGGTGTAACGATCGAAAGTTGTTGTCAGCGCATTGAAGGCATTATTAAAGCGGCAATGCAGCGTCTCGAAAGCAATCACTTCTTTTCCCGTGTCAATGATGATATTCTCTTCAGATTCTGTAAGCGCTATTATTGGTGTAAGACTATTGACGTGTGTTGTGCCATTTGCAGTGGTAAAGCCATTGGCTAGCTGCTCCTTAGCCTCCTGCGTATTTGTGTCAATGAGATATTTATCCAGAAATCGATCAATGTATTGCTCTGAATCAGAGTCTTTTTGAATTTCCGCAGAAATTTGTATGGGGTAGTGTACAATTGGTTGGGAGTCATCTTCGAAGGAGACACAAAGGCTGTTATCTTCTTCGGCGGAGGGTAAATCGGTGCGTTCTACAGTTTGACTATGATACGAGGCGCTGGCAAAAGTATCGCTGCTCTCCTCGGTCTGAGCGTCTGCTTCCACGGCATTCATATCCAAAGCTGTGCCATCTTTCAACTAGAAATTTGGATTTATTTTTTTAGTTTAGATAGCAAAAAAAAAGATATGTACACAAATTATAGCTTACTTACCATTTGGTCCCACTTGGAATTCTCCGCCACCGAGGACAATGGACTCTTCGCCGCGGAAGTGCGCCTACTAGATGCCGCACTGCACTCCTTTTCCATTTGCAGTGTAAAGTGCAGCTCTTGTGTTGGCGTTGCCTCGCGTATATCAGCCATTTCGGATGTATGCTTCACATTCTCTTGCATCTGCTCTTTCCCCGGTGATGCATAAGCGCGCAAGCAACGCATCATAAAACCGAAAGGCAACAACGGATCCATGAGGCACAGTAGACGCGCCGGACTCGGCACGAAGCTGATTAGAGTTGGACAGTATGCTAGAAACAAGCCATCCGGTACACGTACACCCTGCTCGATGCATTTCAATGCCACGCCTATGCAAAGATTGGCACCTGCCGAATCGCCAGCCAGCACAATGCGCTCAGCGGTAGTGCCTAAATGCTCAGTATTTCGCAACATCCAACAGTAAGCGTAAAAAACCTCCTCGAGTGCGCGCGGAAAAGGCGCTTCTGGCGCCAAACTGTAGTCCACCGAAATAATAGGCACGTCGAGCGCAGCAGCCCAATCGCGCAAGTAGAGTTCATGCGATTTTGACGACTGCGCTACAAATCCACCACCATGACAATGAAACAGTACGCTGCGACTACGTGCCGGCAAGCGGCGCCAACTTCTTGAGAACATGCCCTCACCGATCATGCCTTCACGGCGCGAAAAACTGAGCAACCGCACTTTCACTGAATTGCCAGGGCCAATGTGCGCAGACGGCAATGGTATATCGATCAGTTCGACGTTATCGTTTTGATTTACATCGGTTACAGGGTGTAGCTTTTGTGACTTATTAACGCTGTAACAAAAACGAATGAGTTTTTAATTATTTATTATTAAAGCATTTTACTCACCGAGGCAACTGCAAGGGCTCAGGTGGTATCTCGATTACGCGATTTACTTTCACCGAACTGCCAACGATCGTCGGTATAGTGTGCATCATCTCCGACTCGGCGAGAAACCAAAATGCTTTGCAAAAATCTATTTTCGCATTTTGCGAAATGTTAACAATGCGACGCGCACATTGTTCTGGATTCAAAAAGTACTTGCTGCCCGTCCATAGGCCGCGTGTAGTTTTTTGTATTTTACCTTCGACCTCTGCATAGAACACCTCCGAAAAGCTGGCCATGCCGATCGCAATGAAACGCAGAACACCGCGTATTGAGTTGTCGTACTGAAACCCAAGACAGCGGCCGTAGAAGGCATACTGATTGATGGTGTCGCCCATTTCGAACAGCTCCTCGGCGGTATGTTCCCCATTAGCGAACAAATCGCCCGAATCACATGACCAGTCATGCATGATGAGCAAATATTGCAAGCATGTGCAGAGCGAAGAGAGCAACTGCGAGCACGACTCAACCTCTTTCATAAAGTATTTCTTGCGAAAGAACATTGTAGCGCGTGTCGCTTGGAGATTCTTGCAAATGCCTTGACCATAAGTGATGCAGGAGTTGGTGACAGATATAAAACTGCGATAACCATTGCCGGGAGTATGTTCGTCAAAGTCATACTTGTAAGCGAAGGCATCAATTTGTAATACTAGCTTATTTGCTAAACGTATGAAATCCTGCCAAGCGACGAACGCAGCATACAAGCGCTGTCCACGCTCAGAGGGATCGTCTCTAAAGTAATCGGCGTGCTCAACGCACTGTTCCAAGAGTTCTGCGTAAATAGGCAACAATGCTGGTGGCGCGTCATCTCCCGCCGTGTCAGTCGTGTCATCCATCATACGTTGATCACGCAGTGATGTGCCGAATTCAGCCGACGAAGCTAAGGATGCAACCGAAGAAGACGGTATCGAATTGGGCGTGGCCGGTGGAGACGGGGGTGCTACAAAACGTTTCAAATCGCCAGTATCTAACATTGGTTTCGATGTGGCTGCTGGCAATTTTTCACTGCCGTTCGCTATTACGCCATCCACTGCATTAATACTTGCCGAGATGACAGCTGTGGGCTCAATGAATTCCATGTTGGACCCCGCTTAGTTTAACTGGCTGACTGTAGTCGCTTGATTTGAACTACAACAAAAATATGCGATTAAAAATTACACATTCCAGAACATGTACATAGGATAGAATTATCATTTAACCTTCTCAATGAAACTTTTAAAGTTGTTAATATAACTAATTTAAGTATAAGTTCTAAAAATTGTTTGTGTTATATGTGCTATATTAAAGGTATGTATTACTTCCATTATTTATAGACAACTCGTGGGTTCAAGTTTCAACTTGGAATATTTAAATTCTCTTTAAAGCAGACTTCAAATTTGTGATGTCATAGATGTAATATATGTTTTTAACGTACACGTATGCGACGTTCTTTTTCTCTAAATTACAACAAAGCATGACTTCAGTTTTCGCTGGAAGGTCTTTTAACGTGTAGTATCAGGCATTAAAAATTTTTAATCAATACACTTTTGAATAATGTGCTCTACACTAGACTGGGTCGCGAAAAAAAAGTGTTATGGAGAGTAAAATTCGACCAGTAAACTCAGCTAACTTATCAAATTCTACTTAATTTTAATTACTATAACTACCACTTTAAATTCAGTTCATATATAAATATGGAAAACTCAAATATGACGGCACCGACACGGTCTAATGTATGTACATCTGATTTCGCTACTGCGTTGTCATGATGAAGCAGTGAAGAAATCGGCTTCCGCTGAGTGTCAAACTCGAAAAAAACTGCAAAAAGTAATACTCAGGTCAAAATAGTGTCACCTCTTAAGGTATTTTAACACTTTTATGCAGAATTTCTAATTCTTATGATATGAAATGTTTTTTTTTACGATAATACTTTTTATTCACAAAAGCGCTTGCAATTTGTTCATTGCGAGTTATTTTTCAGATATATACAGTATCGGTCATATCTATAGCACGCCATTTCAAAGTGATATTGTGTGCCACATATAGTGCATTCTCAGACACACCCGATACAAACCCAAACTTAATAATTTGTAGAAAGCTACAAAAAAGTGCAACAAATTTTCACATAAATTTCAAACGAAGTGTTAGAATTTTTTTGAGTACACAGGTTTTTAGCCCCTTCAATTTTAGTCTGATAATGTGTAAATTTGAAGTGGCTACGAATTACCGTTTATTTTTTAAAATTTTTTTTTTGTCTCATTGGCTTCCATATAATGAATTAACTCAATTTATTTGTATATGGAAGAAATCCGCAACACGTTTGGCGAAAAAAATTCGAAAAAATCAACGGTAACTTTTAGCCATTTGAAACTTGCACATTATCAGACTAAAATTGAAGGGGCTAAAAAACTGTGTACTCAAAAAAATTCTTGCACTTGCGAGAAAAAAGTTTTATATTTATGTGAAAATTTGTTGCACTTTTTTGTAGCTTTCTACAAATTATTAAGCTTGGGTTTGTATCGGGTTTGTCTGAGAATGAACTATATTTTAATTGAAAATTCTTAAAAATAAATAAATAAACATAAGTGGCACACAATATCACTTTGACCTTTACAACCTCTATATGATAAGTTGTTCAAAGCCAAGGGCGGATATTTTCTCTTATGCAGAGGAAGTCTATGCTAATTGGAATTTTAAGTACTTTAACAAAGAAAAGATTGACTCGGGAAGTGCTTTCAAGCACGTCTGCGAGTGCTGCCGCTACATAAACTCGGGCGAAAATAAGAACTCTGCCTGCGGGTATGGAGCGGGCGGCTGACCTCGCGTAACATAGCTCGTTTTTATGATGGCCATTTGATAGGTCACTTAGGCGCGATTTATAAAGTCGTTTCAGTTAACTTTAATTGATATTTAGATTGGGCTTTCAGCGACGATGAAATAGCGACGAGGATGTATGTATGTGCATAATTGATGGGGTTTTAACTCCTTATGCCTGCTTGTTATGTCCACCAAGCCGCTTCGATTCACCATTTCTCTGCTCGCTTGGGCTCATTTACATATTTATTTAGATATAAACAAGTTTTACGCCGACTCCGAAAGCCGATTGTATTTTTATGAGAATCTGTTTCTCATAGCAGAAATACCCTCGGAAGTTTGCCTTTGCCTTGCGCGGGGCAAACGTTTGTTTTTATGCAGCTGCTGGTTAAGGGTCGTTTAAATCTGCGCTTCGCATTTAGCGGAGATACTGTTGTATTCGCCACTTATTATATGGTTGGCCAATCGAAAACGATCAGTTTCTTAGATTTAGGTAGTGTTCTTTAAAAGAATCGTCTAACAGGAGTTACTGCGACTAGGATGTTGTGGCGTAAGGTGTTAGATATGTATTGTAGTAATTTTTCCTTCGGCTTTCGTAAACCTCCTTCATTTCCGCGTGTACAACTAAAACAATAAATCTGGACTGCCAATCGAATGTATTACTTTCTGCGGCAATATGTATAAATCAACAATCATACAAAAGCCATAATGAATGAGTTCTTATCTACTAGTTTAGACTGATTACAAAGCAAACAAATGGGCTATCCCCGCGTGGGAATAGTGGCGTCTAGTAATAACAAAACTATAAAACCTGATAAGCATGTGCCAGCTGCAAACTGATAAGCACAACCTAAAAATACATATAATGGGCAAGTGTCGTTAAGCGCAGTTGATAAAAAGAAATACTTTGTGCAATGTTTTCTCAAAAATTTAAGGTAGTAGGTAAATATGTATTTGATACACAATGTTCGTTTACCTGTTTTGAGCGGTTTTCAAAGAGCCTTTTCTTCACTCCTTGCTCCTGCAACTCCTTTTTATCCCTCGTACAAACGCCAGAAAATTCGTTTTTTGTATCCTTCACACTAATCCTCTTGCTTCAATGCTTTTTCACACGCGTCAGTCCAATGGGGCGCTGCTGGCGACATCGAACAAGAAAAGTTAACACATCGAATACATATAGTATGTACAATGCTTATTGCATATAAGTCACTACTTTTACGGAAAACCTTTCTTATATGCATTAATTTTTTTATGAAGACTACGCATAATGGACAGATCTGGTGTGTTCCGGAATACATTTCTATCAATTATAGTTGTTGTTATTGTAACAGCATACAAATTCTCCAAAGAGTTTCTGGAGAGTGTTGCTGGAGTAACAGTCGTGGGAATGAAAGTCAGCAACAGTTGACATGATGCATTTCTGGACACAACCATTATTGCATTATTGATGCTCTGATGCTCAACTGAAAATCTCTATGAATTCCCCAAAAATTTTTTGGGAATGATGCTAGGGTGACATGCCTTGGCGAGATATAATTCTGGATCCGACGATAAGCCCGACTTTCGAGGGAACAATTATGGAATCGACTACTTTGGTTCTAGAAAGTCCTTTCTTTTAAGATTTTTTAAGATGTTTTTCTTATAAGCGTTTTTCTTATATATATATATTTGCTTTTATATACATATATAGCAAATGTATTACATATGTACAACTTTCTTATACACAATAATTACTGTAATTATAAATGCACCCTGAATTTAAGTTTTCCAAATTTTGTCACGGCACCAGCGCTTTAAACTTTCACCTTTGATTTTAATTTAAATGTGTGGGGAAGCCATACAAACTTAAGTTGAAAGTAGGAAGCGATGGTTCCGGGATGAAAAGTGGAAAATCAAGAGGTAGCCCCGTTGCGGGGCACAAACTGGTAGCATCATCAGAGTCAGTCGTAATAAATTACAAAACATAAAAATTACTTTGCTCGGCCCTGCAATTTATGGTTTTTTATACATTATATTTTTACCTGCTTTGTTTTATTTCGTGTACTTGGTCACTCGTACATTCATAGTTTCTCCTCACGTCACAGTTCCTCGAGTGGTCAAAGTACAATCAAACAATAGTCCACTTGCCGACACAAATGCTTGCTTTTTCACTTTCCTTCCTTAAAATTTAGATAACAAAAAATTTACACGGGTAAATAAAGCCACTGCGAAGAGGTTTTTCCTTCCGCCTAGCTATTAACCCAATTGATGAAAAAAATTTTTCAACTTTTACGTTGTAAGACTTGAAAACTGAAAAGTTAGCAGAATGAGGTAATCACAAAAAACGTCAACAAACAAGTTTTGCTAGCAGCTGTTTGGGAAATTAACTTAATTGGCGGTGCTGCCAATTGGAATTTTGATTCGATGGTAGGAAATTTTCTCAAGTTTTTTTTTTGTGATTTGCTTGATTGATGGGTTTTGAACAGTGGTGAGCAGCAATGCGCCTTGTGTTGAGCGGGATAGATTTGCTGAACACCAATTGCTTTTTACTTTATATGCTGAAGTACCAACAAAGCGCTGTCATCAAATACCGTAACCCAAATGAAGAAGGTTGTAGTGTGTTTGTGAAGATTTGGCAGCGAGCAGAGTTTTGTAGCTTAATTACTTAATATCTTCGGAAGCTGTAGTGCCCGCCCGTGGTTTAAATAATCTCGTTGTCCACCGTACCCCTGCAAAAATCGCGACTACTCCATGCATGCGTGTAAAGAGTACTCCCGAAGGACCAGGGAGTACTCCAAATTTAACAATTCATATAAAAAATATGGTCCAAATAACATTGCGATGTCCTAGGGCAGGACCATATACTCGATCCCTGCATTACTTCAGAGTAGCACAAAACTTCTCTAACATATTAACAATGGCATTGTTGTTATATTTTTTCGTTTGTACACGCTTTTGTTCTTCACTTCTCAAATGCTTTTTCGAAATTAATAAAAACCAAGCCAAAAATTAAAAATTACATGTTTCCTCTGACGGCATTCGAACCCGAACATTCTGGGAGCTAAGAACTAACAGCGAGCACCTCTACACGTTCAGCTACAGTCAGACATGCAAATGAGCTTTCAAATGCTCAACTTCAATCACATTTCATTAAAACACGAGCAGTGATCGGATAACAAACAATAAGCTGGCGCAGAGACACGAGTTGGTCCGCTACAGCATGACAGAGGAACACTTTTGTAAGTACTCCAATTTACCACAAATAGACTACATGGTCCAACGATTTTTGCAGGGACGCGTATGTATGTATGTAAATATTCAAATTTTTTCCGTCATAATATTTTAAATGTGGGACAAAGCAATTTTCTTAAAACATGAATTTTTTAAGTTGAATACATAATATTTATATTTACAAAACATGAATAGAATAGTATAAATTAACTCATTTTTTATTTTTTTTTTGTAAATCGTGGACCACCAAAGTGTTTGCCTTTGTTATATTTATTTTTTCCTGCTTTGTTTACTATTTTTACGTTGCTAGCTTTCTTCTTTTTGGCTATTTGTGTTTGCTTCTTATAACGATTCGCTTCGGATCTGAAAGATTTATGTCCATACAAAATCAAATCATAAAATAATATCTTTCGCAATATCTTTCCCTAACACCCACCTTATACGCAACGCTCCACTACGACTAACGTCTGTCAAATCGTTTGTAAATGCCGACTGTCCGGGGCGCTTTTTCGGCTTCAGTTTTCCGTAGTCACTGACATGTCGCCTAGACTGCTCATCGGCAACTGAGTTTAGTTTACCAGGGCGGCTTTTCAGTTTTGACATTTTTGCGCGTACCAATGATGCCTTTTCGATCTCTTTTATGACCCGCTCTTTCGCCAATTGCTCCGGGGATTTCTTCCTAGGTTCTTCCTTCTTCTTTTTCTTGGCACTCAGCTCTTTTACTGGTGGCCCATCTTCGCCCTCCCCACCGTACTCAGTGCGCTTACGCTTAGCACCTTTGTTATTTGCGGTGGTAGCAGATTTTTTCTCCTCTTCAGGCGGATTGATCGCTAAACGCGCCTTTTCCTCTTCGCGTTGCTTGCGAGTTTGGAACCATTGCCGTTGCTCTGACTGGGTGCCTTGTAATTTTCGCTCGGTTTTGGAAAGTTGCTGCTCCATTTTCGCAATTTGACGCTCTGCCTGCTCTTCGTCCAAAATGTTCTCTGAAAATTTTATGATTATCAATGGACAGTTACTAATAAAAGCATTGGATACTTACGTATTTCTGGTTCGAGTGCGGCTAATCTTTTCCTATACTTCTCAATTATATCAGGCGGTATAATGCGGTTCTTCACAGAGTTTTCTGCATTCTTGATGATATCTTTAACGATCTTGCGCTCTTTTTCACCGGCCAATGACACGGAAATGCCAGCGCGACCCGCACGCGCCGTACGACCGACACGATGTATGTAGTGTTCAGTTGTTATGGGCATAACGAAATTGATAACCGTCTTTACACCCACAATATCCAAACCACGAGCCGCGACATCAGTTGCTATTAAAACATCTATTTGCTCTTCTTTGAATTTCTTCAATGACTCCAAACGTTGCTGTTGAGTTAGATTACCATGCAATTCGCCGGCATGCACGCCTAGCAAGCCGAGCAGTATATGAAGACGATGTGCTTGCTTCTTCGTTTGAACAAATACCATACAATGATCGTGGAATGTACGACAAATCAAGCTAGCTAATATGGGTTCACGATCACCCTCTTTATCTTCGCGTATACGTATGAATTCTTGACGAAGATTGAAGGCCACTTGTTGATTGTTATTGACAAACACCTTTACTGGCTTATTGAGAGAAACAGCAGCCAAATCTTTTACTTGTTCACTCATTGTGGCCGAGAAGAGCATAGTTTGTCGTGTTTTGGCGCAAGAATTGATAATTTCTTTCATTTGTTCGGCGAAATATTCATCCAACATACGATCTGCTTCATCCAAAATTAGAACCTAGGAGAATAAGAAAAGAATTTAATTATGAAAGCACGTCCGGAAAATATTTTTTTTTTGCTTGCTCGAGCAAATACTGTTGCTAATTTTACTGCCACATGTTGTTGCGCTGGAGAAAGAGCCATTAGAAGTAAAGTTAAACACAGTCATGGGAAAAATTTTGGAAGATTTTAGTATACAAGACAATTTGTCATGTCAACTGACCATATTTTCGCTCTTGCTCGAGACACACATACATCTGAAATTCAAAAGCACTCCTGAATTTCTTCAACGCGCCGTACAAGTTTTGCTACCGCATGCGACAAGTAATCTTCAGGCCCTAGGCGCACTAGATCAGTTGCTAACAGTAACTGCGAAGCTTCCCTCCGAAGACGTTCTACATATATCGGAACTTTTAACGCCTTTACTTAGCTCCCATTCACATGACGTGCGGCTGCTCACTGCACACTGTCTACAAACACTTCATCGACAAACGAAAAACGCTCATCCTTACAAGATATTCTATCAAGCCGAATGCATTGAACCCAATGTGCATAATTACCGTGAGCAACTGTTATATCTGCAGCAGTTGGAGCCGGCTGGTGAACTCTATCGCGCCATGGACAAAGAGGAGTCACTGCGCGATGTATACAAACAGCATATATTACGCTTTTTACTTGGCATGTTGTATCACAACTTCAAATTTGTCTGGGAGCCAGTGCAAAAATTAATAGAATCGTACGCCTTGCTGATGAGCCTCGCCGATTTTTGGAACATTTACAAACAACAATTACAGCTCACAGCTGAACGCATTGATTACACGATTGCTGTGACAAAAGACTCCACAGCCACGGTTGAAAATGTAGCCTGCTGGCGCAGCGATGTTTTGAATGAGGTGCTGCCAGCGGCACAACCACCGAAACAGACGCAACAACAGTTGCTAAATTATCGCAACTTACTGTGGATGCGCCTGCCCCTATTTGGTCAAATGGCAACGCAGAAAAATCGTGATCTTGTGGGTCTGTTCCTGCAGTTCGTAAACGAAGAGTATCGTGCACGTCTCGAGCGTCGAGAACTAACTTGGGATTTGACGCAAACGGCAACAGGCCACGGACATGAACAGTTGGCCGAAGCCGGTGTTTTGGATAGTGATGACGAAGCAGATGAAGATATTAAGCAAAATGGTGTGTTGTCAGTTATTTTATATATTTTCTTTCGTAATTTAATTTCTTTCACACTATCTTTCCCCAGAACGACAACGTAAAATCGGCCATCGCAACAAGCAGCGTAAGGACCAGCAAGGTTTCATCGCCAAAAGCATTCTTCAGACACTACAGAGCAAACTTGGGGTTTTCGCTGCGCAACCAAATCCGCGCTCACTTTATCGCGAACCAGAATTGTACACCCTCTATATGGACCTCCTGGCCGGCCCCAATGCACAATTACAACGTGCCGCGTTGGACTGTGTTCTCAGATATAAATCTAAGTCTTTGACCCCACACAAAGAACACCTTTACGCGCTAGTCGATGAGGTAAAACTCAAGGATGAGCTGGTTAACTTCAAATTAGATGAAACAGTGAGCGCGGAGGAGCGGCCAGAACTTATGAAAATATTGCTACGCATACTGTATGGCAAAATGATCACAAAAGGTACACAGCGTGCGATGAGCGCACAATCGCGCAAGTCCATGATTCTCAGATTTTTAGGGCAGTGCACAACCGAGAGATTTTATGGTTCCTAGAGATGGCTTTTGGAAAATATTCCAATTATACTGCAGAGGATGCAACACTGGAGCAGATACCCGCACAAGTACAGTCTGATTTCGATTTGCATGCTGTTTGGTCGCCCAAAAAGCTACAAAGCATAGTCAATTTACTGGAGTTGATACGGAAGGAGTTCGGCGGTCTAATGAAGCGCGACTTCCATATTTACATGCTGAAATTGTTAACATTCGTGGGGAGTGCATGCAATGCGGTTTTGCTAATGCCTGCAGAGAAACTTGCACTTGTTCACCCTAAGATGAGTGTAGTTTACAAGAACGTGCGCAACAATGCCCTTCTAAGTTTGTGAATTTCTTTGCGCACATCGAAGAGTTTGACTGGGAAGCGTCCCAGGTGCGCTGCTTAAGCGAAGTATACGTCTGGCCTGCTATCGAAAAGCTGCCAAACGAATCAATACATACGCCCACACCATTGCTGCGCCTGTTGTTGCAGTGGGGAGAGAAGCCGCAGCACTTCGATTACTTAGCACAGCGTCGCACAAATGGCGCTGAGCAGGCGCAGGGGTCGCCGACTATTTTCCATTACGTCGTGACACTGTTGTTGAATGAAAAAGCGAAGACAGCCGTACGCCGTCCAATAATGGCGCTTGTGGAGCGTCTTTTAGCATCCGCGGCGTCAGACA